TTTAGGAAAATAAGGTAAAATTTAACGTCGGAGATAATGACATGTTGACAAGTCCAACTTGGACTTTATGATAATGACATGGAAAAAAATAATAAAAATTAATAATATAATAAAAAAAAATTTTTTTTCTTCTCTTCCCCTTTCTCTCTCCCATTGGAACCTTTATTTTTTTTTTTTCCTTCTCTTTTCCTTTCTCTCTTCCCTTGGAACCCAACAGAATTCATTAGCAAACATAAGGGAAACGAAAGGGCCTTTAATGGAACCCACACCTGGGTTCCATTGAACCCAATGGCAAAAAATTATTATTATTATTATTATTATTATTATTATTTTATTTTCTGTGGGTTTTGTTATTTGATGATGATGATGATGAAGAACCCAGCAATGGTAGAAATTGATTGAGGTGAATAGATTGGTTGAGTTGTTAAAGATTTGCAAAAGTTGAGGGTTCCATCGAACCCAACATGCCTAGGTTCGTTGGAAGCTAGGTGTGAGTTCCATAGAACCCAGTGACAAAATATTAAAAAAAAATTCTTTTTTTTTTTTTTTTGGGTTTTGTTGTTTGATGATGATGAAGAACCCAACAGGTAGAGATTGGTTGAAATGTTAGAGATTTGTAGAAGTTGAGGGTTCCATGAACCCACGCCTGGGCTCTTTGAAACCCACAGACTAGGTTCCTTCGAACCCACGGATTGGGTTCTTTTGAACCCATGGTTGATTGGGTGAATAGATTGGTTGAAATGTTAGAGACTTGCAGAAGTTGAAGAAAGGGAAGAGGAAAGTGAGGAACGAAAAAAAAAAATATTTTGGTTGGGTAAAATTCTAGCTCAAAAATGGTGCAAGCTGAACTTGCTAACATGTCAAAAAAGTTTGAGTTGGCATTGACACGTGAATTTATGAAGATTAACGATTCACATGTTGCATGTGATCTTTAGATGTTAAATTTTGTCTCATTTTCCTAAATTTGAAAATATAAAGAGTAAAAAAATCATATATTATAATGAGAGGTAAAATACCTCAAATTCAAAAAGTTAGAGGGCGAACGGAGGGTTTTTACCCGATTGCTGAAGGGTGAGTGTTGGAGCGAGCGCTCTTAGCACTCCTCTCGTAATAAATTTAGCATAGGGCTGCTACGTGCAGTCGCTTTTCTCTGCACTCTTCAACACTCTCTCATATAAAATAGCCACGCAATATACTTTAACTCGCAATTAAAAGTTCAGTTAAAAAAATTTACGTGATTATTTTACATAAAAAAATATTAAGAGAGTGCAAAAAAAGACGACTGCATTCAACAGTCTTCTTCGGCTTAAACACTGACACGGCGCAATGATATATGTTCAAAGAATCTTTTTGACTTTCTAATCGAGGGTGGGTTGGCTGGCCTGCACAAACTATTTACAAATTAAATAATTGAGCAGCAGATCATTAACTTGCTAGCAACTTCGAAACCAGATCCATTACCATCCTTTTCCTTCGATTTCAATTTTAACCAGTCTGTTGGTTCCTATTTTTCCAAGAATGGCAGATGCGCTTGTTTCCGCTATCTTGGGGCAGCTAGCAACCATCGGCAGGACAGGAGGTTAAACTGGTCACTGGTGTTGACAAAGAAATCAACAAGCTCAAGAGCAATCTTGAGTCCATCCAGGCTTTGCTTCTTGATGCTGAGGAAAGGCAGATCGAGGATAGAAGCATCCGGAATTGGTTGACCAAGCTTAAAGAAGTATGTTATGACATGGAGGATGTGTTGGATGAGTGGAACACTGCTTTTTAAAGTTCAAAATTGATGACGCAGATCCGGAAAACTTTGATCATTCCAAGGGAAAGGTATGTCGTCCCTTCATCCCATGTTTTTCTTTTGGTCGTCAAGTTGTTCATCGTCGTGACATTGCTATTAAAATAAAAGAAATCAATGAAAGATTAGATGTGATTGCAAAGGAGAAAAATAGGTATCAATTGGCACCAAGGGATATTGATTTTTTGATGGCATTGTAAGTTTCTGCAGTAAAGTAAAAGAGCACAGAAAATGCAGAATCACAAAATTTTAAAACAAGAGCTCCTCTGATGTGGAGCTCTCTTTTCATTTCAGATTAAATTGCAAGACATAAGATTTGCTAAAATATACATACAGCACGTACATATCAGTATTTTGTAAAAGAAAATTGTCACGCCCCAACTCATAGGTTTGGGGATAATAAACGCCACACATTTATAGGTTAACCCCATAAAAGTGTAAGGTCATTTTTCTTCATACCAATACAATCTCCCATAAAATTCTAATGTAGCCTTGCAACTTTAAGATAAACAATTCCATTAACAAATCTTAATAGTCTCCAAATAACAAGATCAAATCTCTTAACCACAATATAAAGTGATTATTGCTAAATTTCTGCCATATATCCTAGCGATCTCTCAATCCCCATGCAAATCTGCATGCAAATCCCAATACTCATACTTCTTCACTTGAAATCAGATAAAATTTGAAAACGTGAGTTTAAAAACTCCGTAAGTAGTATACCCATCCTTCACAACCAAGCATAAAAATATATTTATAACAGAATTTTTTATTTAAAAACGATACGATAAAAATATACTTCTTTCCTCGAAACCATAATATTTCATTTTTCGTTCCTTATGGTTGTGTAACAATTCACAATCCACGATCAATGATACTCAATCATCAATCAACAATACAAAATCCATGATCCACAATCCACAATTCACAATCCACAATTTACAATCTATAGATCTCGGGTCTATCACAATACTTACAACTCAATCCTCACAAGGATTACTCATACAATCAGGATAAATAAAAGAAATTGTTCCAAAAATAGCTATTTTAATAATATTGGAGAAAAACAAATTTAAATTAGTCACCTCTACATGGCCACAATCTCGTCTCAAATTTAAATAAAAATACTATGCTTGGTCCACAATTCATCCCATTCCATCATTAAAAATATTTCAGTAAAAATCATTCTCCAATAAATAAATAAATATATAAATAAACAAATAGATAAATAAATCGAATTTGGATAAAACCCATTTAAATCCATCGATTTACTTGAAAAACACTAGAGGATATAACTACTTACCTCAATAATTATCTCTTAAAATGCAATTCCACACCATCAATTGAACCCTAAAAGAATATCAAATAAACATAACTCAATCATCCAACAAAAATTTGCCTAATACTTCTCAAGTATTTTCATGTAGTATTTCTCTACACATTGCCACTGATGTCTTGTTCCTCAAACTCAGATATTCCTTCACAGCCTCTTCTAAGCTAAACACCTAAATAAATAATTCTCTTAAAAATTCCTCATACCACACCACCCAAATTTACAATTTAATATCAATACCAAAATCTAATAGTTAAAGTAAAATCAACCCTACCAACTAGGCAAATACCCACTATCTTCATTCCCACATTCCAAAATATTTCACCCATTTTCCCCTCTTCTGGTGTGAAATTGTGTGATATAGGAGTCCTTAATAAGCAAATTACCACAGAACCTTTTAAATTCCCTCTCTCCATTCTTCTAATCATCAAGATTTAAGTTTAAGAAACAAATTACCTTTGATTAACCTTGGTTTGGCTGAATCTCTTGAGCAGGTTCCCTTGCTAGCGAGGAGAAGAGGACGTTCCTGATTCCCCAGAATAAACAAATTGGAAACTGCCGACTAAGTCTTTTTCACAAAAGGGAATATTGCCACTTAGTCCCTAAGCTTTAACTATAAGGTTTAGTCCCTGAATTCCTCTCCTCATTATAATTTTAACTCCAAATTTAGTCCTATCACTTATACACTCTCTAGGAGCTTAAATAATTTATTTAAATCTTAAGTAAGAAATTCTTGGGTAGTACAAAAATCATCAGAAAACATAAACTAACTGCAAGAAACTAGAAAGAAACAGTTACAAATTAGAAAAACATAACTGATATTTACTAACTTCAACACTCTTCCTTGCTTTTCATATTTGTAACTCCAAGCATATCTCTGAACTCTTCAAATTTCTACCTTGGAAAAGCTTTAGTCAAGATATTTGCAACTGGAACTTCAGAATCACAATGCTGCAAAATAATCTCTTTGCCCCGAGCGTAATTTCTGATAACATGGTATTTAATCTTGATGTGTTTGGTCCTACCATGCTGCACTAGATTTTGAGCAATAGCAATTGCTAACATGTTATCTACCTTGAGTACACAAGGCTCAATTTAATTAAAACCAAGTTCTTCAAGCTCCATTCTAAGCCAAACAGCATGATTCGTTGCTGCTCCAGTTGCTAAATACTTGGCCACAATTGTGGACTGAGCTACAGCATCTTGCTTCTTTGAATTCTGTGAGAAACTCCCTGAACAAAAGGAGAACACATAACCTATTATGCTTATCGTATCCTCCATAGAACTTGCCCAATCATTATCAACATACCCTTGTAACCTTCCTTGTTGATTATTGTCAAACCACAAGCCAAGTTCATAGGTTGCTTTGATGTACCTAAGAACTCTCTTGGCTGTAACTAAATAAAGTTTACTAGGAGTTGACATAAACATTGACAAATGGCTTGTTGCAAACACCAAATCAGGTCTTGTAGTAGTTAAATAAAGCAGGCTACCAATTAAACTTCGATAGTAGGAGTAATCAACCTTGGTTTCTTGATAATCATTGGAAAGCTTTTCATTTTGAACCAATGGAGTGGCATTTGGTTTATAATTCTCCATTTCAAACTTCTTCAAGATATCCAGTGCATACTTTCTCTGGCAAATGAAAATTCCCTTGCTTAATTGCTAAACTTCAAGTCCTAGAAAATATTTTCTCTCCCAAATTTGTCATTGCAAACTTCTACATCATAATCTTCTTGAATTGTTCCAACAACTTCAAATCATTTTCGGGTAACAATAAGTCATCCACATAAAGTGACAAAATAAACTGAGATTCACTGTTGCTGCCTTTCACATACAAAGTTGCTTCTTCTGTGCTCCTCCTGAAGCCTTGACTCATCAAGTAATCATCAATTCTGCAATAACAGGCCCTTGGTGCCTATTTTAGACTATACAAAGCCTTGTTAAGCTTATAAACACAGTATTCTTTCCCTGTAATCTCAAACTCAGGTGGTTGTTCAACATAAATTTCCTCTTGCAGAACACCATTATGGAAAGCTAATTTTACATCCATATGAAAAACCTTCCAACCCAAATTAGCAGCTAATGCAATTAGAAGCCTTACTGTATCATGTCTTGCCATCGAAGCATAAGTCTCTCCATAATCGACCCCCGACTGTTGAGCATACTCCTTCACAATAAGTCTAGCCTTATGTTTGTGTATAGAACCATGTGGATTTAGCTTTGTTTGAAACACCCGCTTCACTCCAATAGGTTTCTTATCATCTGGTTTTGGAACAAGACACCAAGTTGGATTTTTTTTTTTTTTTATCATAGATAGCTCATCCTTCATGGCATCAATCCAAACCTGTTGTTTAGCTACTTCTTCAAAACAATTAGGTTCTGCAGAAGCTAAATTACATCTTGCATAAATCTCAGCTAGTGACTTGGTTTTCAAAACCGGTGAATCATCATCAACTTCTGCAATTTCAGAACTGGAAGCAATATCACTTGATTTTAATTTTGAACCAGCTTCACATTGCTCATTTGAACCTTTTTCTATCTTCCCTACATCCCAATTCCAGTGTGCACTCTCATAAAAAACATCTCAATGCACATTCACTTTCTTGGATATAGGATTACACACCTTATAGCCTTTTGCTTGTGTTGCATAGCCTATAAAGATCCCAATTTTTGCTTTCTCATCTAATTTTCCTTTTTTAGCTGTTGGAACATGATTATAACAAATTGAGCCAAAAATCTTCAAATGATCAGCAGATGGTTTTTGACCATACCAAGCCTCAATAGGTGTCATGCCTTTTACTGCCTTTGTTGTTGGTAAATCATTTAAGAGATAAATTGCTGTATAAACTACTTCAGCCCAAAAAGATTTGGACAATTTCTTCTTAACATGCACTTTGCCATCTCCATAACAGTTCTGTTTTTCCTCTTTGCAATGCCATTTTGTTGTGGGGTATAAGACACTGTTAATTGATGATCAACACCAGCTTCTTCACAAAACAAGTTGAAATCATTGGAGGTATACTCCTTGCCATTATCTGATCTGAGTTTTTTAATTCTGCATCCACTTTGGTTTTCAACCAAAGCTTTGAATTTTTTGGACATAGGCAAGGCTTGGCCTTTGCTGTTGAGAAAGTATACCCATGTCATTTTTGTAAAGTCATCCATAAAGAGGATGGAATATCTGTTTTGGGTGAGAGATGGTGTTCTCATAGAACCACAAATATCTGTATGCACTAGTTCAAGCTTTTAAGTTGCTATCAAAGATTTATTCATAGGAAAATGCAATTTATGCATCTTGCCTAATTGACAACTTTTACAAACACTGTCAGTTAAATGCAATTCTGGCAAATCTTGAACAAACTCATGTGTTTGCATATATTTTAGGCCTTTGACATTGACATGACGATATCTTTTATGCCATAAATCTGCATCCACAATTTTAGAAGTAGAAAAACAGTGCTACACCTTTTCCAAATCCAAAGGAAAGCCGTTTTCTACCATTTTCATGCTAGCTATCTCATCACCAATAGGGTCAAAAATAAAACATGAATCATGCACAAAAGATAGAGTGTATCCCTTTTCATCATTTGTGCAACAGAAAGTAAATTCTCGCTTAAGCTAGGAATAAATAGGACATTAGTAATTTACTTTGTACCTATTTTAGTTTGAATAACAAATGTACCTTTCCCTTGTGATCTCACCATACTACCATTTCCTAACTTGACAATTGTAATAATTGATTTGTCCATTTCAATGAAGAGACTTTAATCTCGAACCACACAATTAGTGCACCCACTATCAACAAACTAGGTACTAGATGGCAAAGATGAAGCTTGTGACACTGTGAACAAGTAGTCCTTCTTGCACTAATCTTCAGCATAATTAACTTGCTTTTGTTGCTTTGGCCTAAACTGAGCTTGCTGATGTTGTGTTTGATGCTGTCATTGTTGCTTAGCCCTACAATTCTTCTCAATATGGCCATACTTTTTACAAACTCTGCATTGAATCTATGATTTGCCTTTGAACCAACAATCTTTTTCTTCGTGGTTGTTGACGACCACTTAAAAAGGGAATTAAGTGTGAAAATATAAAAAGAAGGGGAGTCGCCACTTGTCCAAATTATAAAGTGGGACAAATCACCTAAAACGGGTTTGCGCAGAAATCGAGGTTCAGGGGTTCGGTTAGGAGTGAGGAAGGGCATATGCGCACCTCACAATCCTCCGTTTAAACATGGTTGCATACTTTAACATTTGGGTTTTGATTCAACTTACTCGTTGTGTTTATGTTTGAGTCTTAATAGGTAAGTTTGAAAGAAGGGTAAACCAAATTGAAATATTTTTTAATTTTTGGGCTAAAATGGACAAAATCAAAGACAAGCATGCATCATAAGCACAAATAAAATTAAAGGGACTAATTTGATTAAATTC